ACTGACTGCGCCATCCGGGTGCCCCTTGAATATTCTTTTAAAGAACGTTCACTAAGGATTTAGGAAGACAAGAGACTAGACAGTATTTTGAGGGGAAAGGTGAGGTCTGCCTGTATGGGACCTTCCTTAGGCAGCAGACGTGTCTCTCCCTCCGTCCCCATGCCCAGCTTTAATGACTCTAGCAGGTATCTATGTGGAGATCACATTCCAAGAGGTCAAGGGCTTTCTTTTACTTTGTAAAGAAAAGTGATAGTTGTTCAGGAGTGTCCTGGCCCAGCACTTTGGCATTTCTCATCGCAGTGGAAAGCGGGCAGCCTGCACGTCCCTGCTTCTCCTCCCCCGTCCCACCCCCCCCCCACCCCATGTGACCTTGTAAAACACCGAGTCTGCCCCCGCTGCCCTCTATAAATCCTCAGCAGCTTTGCTCTTCCTGAGTGTTGCTGAACCGATTGACCTTCAAGTCCGGCATCCAGAAAGCACCGAGAATGGTCAGATGGATTTTCAGTGGTTAACTGCATCCCATTCCTTTGGTCTCATCACCTCTTTGACCTTGTCAGAAAAGACCTCTTTACTGTCCTCCTGAAGATGTTTGTGCTGCATTCTCCATGACACGTAAGGCAACAATCCTCAGCTCCAGACCTGTTTGCCAGGACAGTGTCTTCTGACCACAAATAGGTACACTTCTTAAGATCGTCTGGCTGGGCACAGCTGTCTTAGCCCTGGGTGTGGGCTGACACAGGTTTCCAGTCCTGCCGGTGGAAGATTCTACTTACTTTTGAGATGGCCCTTCTCAAGTGCCTTTACCAAGTGGAACGCCCAGCCATTAGAAGGCAGAATGAAGAAGTTTGGGCTCATGTCTTCACTTTCTAGGATCACTTTTACCGCATGTCTACAGATACAGAGGTATTTGTACTTCTCCTGCTTGAAATGTGTTGTGCCTCTTGAATCTGAGCATTCAGATGCTTTATCACTTTTGGACAGATCTCGATTACCATCTCTTTACATATGGCCACTCTCTTCTTAATATCACACTAAGATGATAAAGACTTGAATAGGGGCGCCTGGGTGGCTCAGTCGGCTAAGCATCTTCCTTCTGCTCAGGTCATGATCCCAGGACCCACATCGGGCCACTTGCTCAGCAGGAAGCCTGCTTCTCCCTCTGCCTGCCACTCCCCCTGCTTGTGAGCTTTCTTTCTGTCTCTGGCATATAAATAAAATATTTTTAAAAAATTAAAAAATACAGACTTGAATATCTGCCAGCTCCAATCGAGTCTTGTCACCAAATTTAAGTTGCAAAAAAACTTTCAGGCTGCAAGTCTCAGAGCTTCTTTTGTAATTTTGCATAGGATGCTCATGCATGGTCGGTGTCATCCCAGGGAATCTGTGGGGTCTGCCTCAGTAAGGAAGTGTTTTTTCTTCTCCTTGGTGTCCTGGAATGTGACCAGCCTGAGACACTGTAAGTATTCTTCATCTTGGGGTTTCCCAGACCACATTTGCAATGGAAATTCAAAGCATAAATCTGTGGAAGATGAGACCTGTAGTGACAGAAGCTAATATTTCCCACTTCCTCTCACCCAAGGATCGCTTCTCTCCTTGCCGTCTCCCTTGGTAGACAGGCTAACTTCTTTTTTCTCTATCCTTTCAATGAAGATGCAGCCCTTTACGGATGCTGGCTTTGTGCAGAGATTTCAGATCCAACTCAGGACTCACCTTGACTGGGTCCGTGTATTTGTTGCCATCACAGAGTGCCCATTAGTTAATACACCATCTCTTGGTCAAGAGGAGGGACCGGTGCTCCCAGCAGGGTCATGGCTTTGCCTTCATTTTAATATTCTGGTCTCTAGCTCCCTCTCTGCTTACAGATCCTGGGGATTTCCTTATTTTCTTATATAACCAAAGCATTTAAATGGGCATACACTTATTTTTTTAAGCATATCTAGGCATGATGTTAAGGGAGGTTTTAGGGGGATATAAATACCTCCTGGGAGTTTGGCTGGGAGGATTCTGAGGTATGAGATATTGTGTACCATCTCCCAGAGCTTCCTCCAGGACTGAACTTCAGTCTTTCACTGTGGGGCTGCCTTGAAAATGTACCTCCCGAGATGCCTGGGAGGTTCAGTGGGTTAAACAGCTGCCTTCGGCTCAGGTCATGACCCCAGGGTTCTGGGATTGAGTCCTGAGTCAGACTCCTTGCTCAGAGGGGAATCTGCTTCTCCCTCTGCTTATTTCTGCCTGCCACTCTCCCTGCTTATGCTCTCTCTCTCTGACAAATAAATAAAAAAGTCTTAAAAAAAAAAAAAAAAGAAAATGTACCTCTTGTTGGCCACTTTTCCCTTCCAGCCGTAACTCCCAACCCCCTGCAGACTCCCTGCCCACCAAAGACCTCATGGCCCTTAATCTTATTTCAGGGTCTGTCTGCTTCTTTTAGGTATTGCCCACCTAAGACCACGTTTTTAAAGGGGGCTTCTAAAATATCATTAGTGCCTGTTCATGGTACCCCATTTTTTCTTTTAGCAAACAGCATTATCCTGGGGAAAATGGATATACTCTAGTATTAACAAGGGAAAAACCTATGTAAAGTTGTACTGTGTAAAAATACATAGGAATGTCTCAAAGAAAATATTTGAAAAGTTTAACAGTTCCCTATAAGATGGGATTACCAGTGATCTTCCCCAACCTCTTCATACTGCCCAAAGTTTCTTTGATAAACGTGTATCACTTTGATAAACAGATAAACATTCCAAAATTAAAAAAAAAAAAACCCTAGAGTAATGTTTTATCAAATTGGGAGAGAGAAATGGCAAGGAAACTGGAGGCTTCCTCCTCGACCTCATTTCAATGTGAGGAACGCTTCCTCTCCCCTGGGCCTGTTTTTTAAACCTCTTTTCCTGGCCTTGATCTGTCTTAGCTAGCATTTAAACTGGTCCCAGTAAGGCTCAGTTTATCAAGTTTTATCCCACAAATGCTTTCTTTTGTATCTCTAAATCCTAAGAATTGCCCAAGACCTTTAAAAAAAAAAAAAAACTCTAGAAACTTCAGTCGGTCAGCTCTGCTGGGATGCCCTCTGTACAATGACAAGGACACAAGCCCAACAGTTGAACTTGACCGTGGCTTGCCCTCTGTCTTACCTGATATGAGCTTGAGCAAGTTGCTTATCCCTACTTCTCTCTGAATGTCAGTGTTAGCCTCTAGGTCTCTTCCAGGTTTTATGTCTTTGTCTCCAGTCACCAGGAAAAGAATTAAAAATTGGGGGGAAGAGACTTATTGGTGAGTTGAGTAAGGTGGCTGCTTTTGAACCAATAAACAATAGCCACGTGGACAATGTCAGGCAAGGACCACAAAAACCTCTTGGTAGAAGAGGCAGGGTCAGTTCCTGATGTATGTAGTATTAAGTATAGGTGTCCACAAGTCCTTCCCTGGTAGCGTTTTGGCAAGAATTTTTGAAATACTGCGTGCAAAGTTCATTAATTCTTCTAAGTGGCATCTTTTTAGTGCCTATTGACAAGCACTGTTCCAGGCAATGGGGAATTGACAGAGAACAAAATACACAAGTAGCCTTCTTTTAATGGGGTTTATAGTTCAGAAAAACACTTGACCCACAGTAGCCACTCAATGACTATTGACCATTAAGATGGCCCATTAGTGTGTGGGTGTGAGGAGTGAAGGTAGTGGCTGGGAGTGGAACCCTGCTTTACACGCACGCCCCCCACACGAGTACCAGCTCCAAAAAGAACTCCCTGAGTTCATACATCCCGTGAGACCAGGCTCAACTGGATCTGGTCTCTGCTAGCTGACCTCCGGGAGGTTAGATAACCAGCCCCAATGGGGTCATTGCTGCCCGGATCTTTCGGACTCCCCCAGGAAGAAATGGGAAACCCCCAATGCAACCGTTGGCCAGAACTCGGTCTCTGGGACAGTCCCTTGCTGCGGCCAATGCCATATAGCTGAACCGCACGGATGCCCCCAGTGCCAAGTGTGCCCCCCCGCCATGTCCCCCCACCAGCGCTCTGCGCCTGTGGCCTCCCCTTTGCTTGCCCTTCACACGTTCCCCAGGTGCTCCAGCCAACTTACAGTGCAAAGTCTCTGTGAGTGCTAGACTTGTGCAACATATAGTAGACTAAGATACCCCAAAATTCGAGGTTCGGCCCAGGAACAGCATTCCCCATCGGAACACTGTTGGCCATGCATTGGTTTTCTCAACTCGGTAGGAACGGATCTTAAATGGAGAGGCCCTGACCCTGATCTCTGCTTACTTAGGCTGTTGGTCTCGTGTGTTGTGTTTTCACTTGAATTCCTCCAAGCAGCTTCTCTTCTACCAGAGGTAGGCTGCACATGTGGGAAAAACCCCAGCCTAGATTCATGGGAGGTGTAATCATGGCGGCCACTTCGCAGGTCAGATCCCACGGGGGCAGCTGAGGAGAAAGGACCAGATCCTGTGGTTCTCCAACACACACCGCACAGCCTTCAGGCTTCCTCGGTGACATCTTCTGGAGCTGCCACCCAAGGGACAGGTGAAGGTCCTGAGTCTACACTCCCTCTCCCCCTCACCACAGCAACTCTGCTTATAACTGCTGTTATGTCCTGTGCTTCCAGGGAAGATTTTAGTTTGGAAAAAAAAAATGGTTGGAAAATATATATATTACAGGACGCACACACACACACACATATATATATATATATATATATATATACACTAGATAATTGCTACAGACTATTTCAGCAACGACACCCTAGGATTTCTTTTGTGACTATAGTCAACCTTCATATAAGATGGGTAAGTCAGGCAGAAGATGGTTTGTACAAATTCAAAGTTTTAATGGCTGTTAAGTAATAAAAGAAAGGATATTTGCGCTGTGTACATTCTGTCCACTTCCGGTACTCTCAGCTGACCATGCCCGTTTTATTGCACATATAAACAGTGTACAAGGATCTTGAAGACGTTACTTAGCCATACACCGACTGCATTTAAAAGGGGAAAAAAAAAGCCATTGCACAAAATATTGAAGTCATTTGTATTATACAGCCAACTTTAAGAAAAATACTGAAGATTAGTATCAAAAGAAATATTTTAATTTGGGGGGGAAAATCTCTCAGAACAAGGATTACAGAGCTTCATGTTTGCCATATACACACGTAAAAAAAATATTTCAGGACCCTGCGTTCTGAATGCCCGTCAAGGTGCGGCAATCTGCATTCTTATTTCCATATCGACCTTGGCATGTTGTTGACCTTGAATAGGCTCTTTGCCCAAAACGCCTTTCTCTTTTACATCATGACGCTATTTGACAGAACAGGTATTTGTGCAGTACAGGAACATATTAAAATATATCTTATGTTAGGTTAAAGTGCACAGTACATCTGACAGGAAATAACTGCTAGCTGCCAATCCAAATGACCGTTTCCAGTAACCGCCCCTATCTCGCCCCCGGCACAGGGCAGCCGTGGCATTGACTGACGGGCGTCTGTGTTCAGTGCCTCCCATCCTCGCAGCGCCCACCCGGGTATCTGTCTCCCGACACTTACAACGGCTTCTCATGGAAGTGAGGCTGCAGTCGACCTTCTCGAGACTTTGGAAGACGAACGAGCGGGCTATCTGTAACTGCGGGGCCAATGCCCACGCGTGGAAGCGTGTCTGTGACGCCTTACGTGAGTCCCTCAAGCCAGCACAGGTCCCTTTCCTTTGCTGGCTCTTCTTAGCCTTGTTTTGACTGAACTTCCTCCTTCCTAGGCTACTCCGTCTCCCAACAGCCCTTCCCGAGCCCGTTCCTGAGCCTGTGTTGGTGTAACGGGTGGCTGCCCCCCCCAGTGGGGGACTCATTCCCGTGGTTTCACAGCAGAGGCCGTGAATTCTGCAGCGTTTTAGGGAAGCCGCCGACTAAATTACAATGAAACGAGCACGTCTGCCTCTCGGAATCATTTTCTCTTTTAAGACAGGCTGGCAGCTGTGAGAAGGGCTGGTCCTGATCCAGGTCCTATGTGCCGTGTGCCATTCTTGCTCACTCAGTCAAAGCTGTCCTTACAAAAGCTTTGTCGTCAAACAATAGACTTTTTCTTATCTCTACTTACCTAGACCATTTCCTTATTATCTACCTTTGGTGCTAGACTTTCTTTCATTAGCCAAGTTACAGTGCAAAATTATACTTCAAGACACATGACGCTAACACTTACGAGTTCTTTGTGTTAAAACGTGAATGTTTTGTGCATAGCAAAATAAGTCTGAATCCAAAAAAATAATTGTTCACATTTCATCTTCAAGTTTAATATGCCTTTTTTTTTCTTCATCACAGCTATTTACAAATAACTTTGGGGTGCTCTCTTGATTTCAGTCGGTTTGTTATGTGAGAGGACAACAGGGCTGCTGGAATGTAGGAAACTGGATGGAATGCAGAAATATAAATAAAACCATGTTCCATAAACCTAAGTGTAAATAATGCCTCCCCAGAAAACAGTTCTTGTCACAGAAGCACCTGTTTTTGGCTTAAATTTTTTTTTTTTTTTTTTTTTTGCTGAGTCACATACACCAGAATACATGATTACTGAGACCTAGAACTACTGCACACCAAAGAGGATAGAAAATAATTCAATATTTATAATATTAAAATAAAGTGTTTAACCACAAAAAAGCAGTAATAAAATAGTTTCCTAATTTACAATTTGCATCCAAAGGATGAATAACAACTCACTAATAAATAATATTTATATAAATATTTTGTATGTCGAAAATAGTTTTTTAAAAGGCAATGGTCTCAAGAAACGTCTTGAAAAATTTGGTGGTGAGAAACCTGATTGTGTCCCCCTCCCCCCACTAAATACACAAGAAGTTTGGTTTGAATAAAACAAATGCATCTTGTTGCAAAACGGTTGTGCTTGGTGTGTTGGTAATGGCAGTAGGTGAGCGTGGAAGGGATGAAGGAGGTTGTAAAAGGCATTGATGTGCTGCTCAGGTCTTCGCTGGCAGCTCCCTCACTGGCTTTAAGGTAAGTATCTCTCCTATCTTAACAATGGAAGTCAGTTCTGGAAGGCGGACAATCTTCCCTTCTGTCCTCCCTTCGATGCAACCAGAGCCAGGGAACTGACAGGCAGTGAGTGGGAGGGCAGGAGGAGCGGGTGCTGAGAGCAGAGTCCAGGACTTCGGACGAGAGGAGAGTCTGAACCGACCCCAAGGAGAGGGGCTGGTTTCATGTGAACAGAGTCTTCGTTACCGTTACATCTAGTAACGCTTGAACGGTAATGCCCACTTTGACCAGGCCTTTCTCTTCAAGGATGTGATGGGGTAGACACAGTTTTTCCTAAAAGGAAGAAGAACACAGCGTCAATTTTTAGATGACCGAAAACATAATCATAAAATCTTAGAGGACACCACTGACAGGAGTTCAGTTGAGCTCTGACATGTGCCTGTCTGATCACCTCAGACTGTGCTCCCTCCCTTGCTTTCCACCCGCTGGCAAAGATCTTTTCTGTGTTTGCAGAGAAAATACCAATTTTTCACAAGTGAGGGCTGTTCCAGAAAGTCTCTCAAGCATCTTAGAATATGCACTAGATCTAAACAGTTAAAAAAAAAAAAAAAAGCTTTATTCTAAATAACTGAGCTACATAGACAGGGGGAAACCAAACACCAAGAAGATATTAGATTACATTCTTATAAAGTAAAATGCACATAGCCTCTCACACATTCCAAAGGAACTAGGACACTCATTTATACAGACCATGCACCGTTCTACTGACCATAAACCTTGATTTTATTTGCTGTGATCTCTGAAATGGAGGTATGCTGGTGGACTTGGTATCCTTTCTTCATGGTTTATGAACGGCCTTGTAAATAAGTAATTTTAACCACAGCCTTCAACAGTCTCCCTTTTAGGACTCTGTCATAAAACGGTCAAAGACACAAATGTCCTGTTACTTTCTCAGGTTGAATTTTTGCTCTTGGGAAATGGCCGGTACGTACAAGTCAAGGAAAACAATCAATGCAAATCACTCCTTATGTGGAGAACCTTGCATGCTCAACCAAACAGTTTACAAAAGAACACAATAAAATAATTTCACACCTTTGTCAACTGGCTCTGGGAATGAGGGGAGTCTCCTTGCAGAACATGTCTCCTTGGCTAGGGAAAGACTCCGCAGCAAACACTCCCTCTTGTCTACCGGATCCTGGTATGTTCTCCACAAGCCCAGTGACGGCTGTTTTTAAGGACAGTTTAAAGGGGATGTGGCCACACCCCAGGTGGTGGACGCAGTGTTTACCATGAGGCCAATGAGGGTCTTGGACATTTCTGCTTCATCTCATGGGACTCTTGCTTGAGGAACCAGATCTTCCTGCTTCCTCAAGTGCAGAGCTCTCCAGAAATTACCACAGACACAGGCGTTCTGCTCTTAGAAAGATCTTCGAAGGACATGCCATGACATCTCCAGTAAGTTGTTCCACCATCTGAAAATGTCATTTTCCTACACGCTCTCGATCACCTTATTACCCCTATCCCTCCTCCTTCCCTAACTTGTGGTAAATGCAGAGTATCTCAGACTCTGTGTCCGGCACCAGGTCTTAAGAAATGGCCCCATGTCAACGTAGGACAACGGATTCTTTAGAACACAATTTTAACCGTTATTTCCCATGTCTGCTCTGTACCATAATAAGATGATCTTGCCAATGGCATAGTCGGTGGGCATTCAGGTTTATGTTGCTTGCCAATTTAGTAGGCACATGTCAACCTGAGAAAGAATGGGGGGCTCTGTGCCAGGTGGGCACGAAGCCAGGATGGGCCACAGCCAGATGTCAGGGTAGATCCTTTCCTGATGCCACCTTTCGCGGGCTTGTGAAAGCACCTCAATCTGGCATTTCATTGCTAAGGCTGGTTCCACAGGGGCAGGGGTATGTTTACCCCATTCTTATGATCTCCACATCACCCAGGTTGACATTGGGCTTCGCAGGAAATTACAAATGGCCACTATTATGGTTAAGCTCCTGGTACGAGACATTACTTGGGGAAAAAAAAAAGGTCTTGTATTTACACCATATGCTAAAATCAATTTGAAATGAATTAAAGAGTTAAATGGACATCTCTCCTAATAAAACAGAGATGAAGAGTAAGCATTTTCTCCTATAAATAAATGGAGAATTTTCTAAGTTAAAAACTGTTACAAAATTCACAACAGATAAAAACAATTGAATTGCCTTAAAGTTTAAAGCTTCCATGTATCAAAAAAAACCCCAAATTGGGGCACCTGGGTGGCTCAGTCAGTTAAGCGTCTGCCTTGGGCTCAGGTCATGATCCCAGGGCCCTGGGATCAAGCCCCACATTGGGTTCCCTGCTCAGCGAGGAGCCTGCTTCTCCCTCTGCCTGCCACTCTCCCTGCTTGTGCTCTCTCTCTCTGTCAAATAAATAAATAAAATCTTTAAAAAAAACAAATTAACTAAAAGATAAACAACAGACTCTAACAAAAGTATTTGCATCAAATTACAAAGAGTTTTATATGACACGTTGGTTTAATAAATCATTGAGAAAAGCAGTAAGGGATCAAAAGAACACTGGGTGAGGAACACAAATAGAAATCTTAAAAGGATGCACACACCCAAAGCATTTTGAAAGACACTTTGCTTCTTGACCGCAATGTTTACTTATATTTAGTCCTAAATGTTCCTGAATTCAAGTACAAATATTTCCACAGGGTCTAAACTCTGTGTACAACACGGCTTTTATGGGGCTACGTGCCCTAAACTAAGTCTTGCTTGAGATGCAACATGGCCCCATTAATGGCTGCGCCAGTCCCGGTGAGGAGTGCTGGAGGCCATGGTTGGGAGGGGGGCTCCACAGAGACAGGGAGGGGAAAGTACTGAGGTTTCAACCTCCCACTGATAGGACTTCTGGAGACAACACAGACTCACAGACTGAGCTAGCTTAAGGTCATCCTCTCTCCTAGCCCTTTAGTTTTCCAACTGACATTTCTCACCTTCCTGGTCTCCTCACTTCTAAACCAGGTGCAGAGTCCAAGAGTCTCGCTTCCACCCTCACAGCTGGCAATGAGAAGTACACGGAAGACATAAAAAGCTACTTCTCACTTCCTTCCCGCCTTTCTCCTTTCATTCAGATGCCCTGAAGAAACCCAGAAGTGCCCTAAGATTACGTGGATGGGGTCGGAGGTGCCTACAAAGACTGGTCTAAGGTAACAGAAACATAAAAACACAGCAGTTCTGGTTATCACAGGACTGGGATGAAACCTGATAGGAATGATGAGCTGAGGCGCTGGTTGACAGGCCGAGCGAGGGGAGCCTGCCGGAAATGAAGAGGGTAGCAAGGATGGCCAGAAGGCCATCTCCCACCGCACTAGTCGGGCCACTGCATAGGCCGGGGGGCATTGGGAAGGGTCCTGGAAGTGACCCAGAAATTGGGATAGGGAAGGAACTTCTGCACATTCCATAACTGGATCAGAAGTGACAGAGAAGGGCCACCCCCTAAACCTGGATAAAAGGGACTTAAAGCAGAGATACTGTACATTCACACTGACTTTAAATGCATTTAAATTTACTTCCTTTTAGAGGAGCCTAGCGGCTTTCCTTGAGAATGGGGCACCACTGTTGTGTTTCCTTTTAAAGCACAGGGCAGAGTCATAAAGGAGTATCTTCCATAAATACCATGCTTCCGAACCCCTCTGAAGAACTCGTGCTTTGTGTTGCTTCTCCGATGGTGGAATCAGTAAGGTTCCCTCACATGCCGTTCATTTTTTTCCCCGCCTATGTTTACATCTTGAGGTAGAATAGTTTATCTGCAGCTACATGATGGGCTATGTGAGGAAAAAAAAATCTGGGCTATTAAGAGTGAAAAAGCGTGTTTTATGTAAATTTTGAAAGGAAAATGGGTCAAGAGCATGGTTTTTAAACTTACTTGGGCTTCATTTAAAAAAAAAAATGTTCTTGGGTGCCTGGGTGGCTCAGTTGGTTGAGCGACTGCCTTGGGCTCAGGTCATGATCCTGGAGTCCTGGGATCGAGTCCCACATCGGGCTCCCTGCTCAGCGGGGAGTCTGCTTCTCCCTCTGACCCTCTTCCCTCTCGTGCTCTTTATCTCTCATTCTCTCGCTCTCAAATAAATAAATAAAATCTTTAAAAAAAATGTTCTTTAAACCCAGTTATTTCACTTGATTTGCTAGCTTCAGGGAAGAGATCGACTTTGTGACCAGCGCTAAAGGTTCCATGCTAGTATGGCTTGTGCCAGCCGCTGTGCCGTATTCTTGCTGGAGATGAACCCTAGCACCGGAGCCCATCCTTCCTTGTCAGTCGTGACCCAAAGATGTCATCGTTCCTAGTTATTTGTCACCACGTAATTGGTGTTGATTGGAAACTTTCCCTGAAATGGGGCAGAACTGCTTGGCTGCTTCCAGGTAACTTAAGCATAGTAATATAAATAAAGTAATAGTTGGGGGGAAAAAAAAGAGTTGGTCACCCAACTCTTTTTAGAGCCACAGCAAACAGGGCTGGAAAAGGCAGGCAAGCCATAAACACTAAACGCCAACTCAGAAAGATCTCCGGGCCCCTCCTACATGCTCGGTGCCAATGCTACAGATCTGCACTGCTTATTTCTCTAGGACAACTATGTAAGGCGGATATAATACCTCCCTTTTACAGATGACAAAACTGAGATGTAGAGAGCTTAAGTAACTTTGTTAAAGTCCCACAGCTGGTAGGTACTGGAAGCAGGATTTGAACATGCTTCTCTTCTCCTAGCCGGGGCTCTTTCCACAACATCATGCTGTTGCCCATAAATTTTACCTTCATCCGTAGGTGGGTATGTTGCACCTGTGCCCCTGGGACAGGAAGAGGCCTCTAGACCCCCGGAGTCCTAGCCTGGGAAGCCCCAGCAAGTTCAAGATCAGGTGCGGGGGGGACACAGAACCCTCAATTTGGGGACAGGCGTTAGCTCGGCGACTTGGCTTGTTGGGCTTCTCTTCAGGGAGAGCAACAGACATCTCATCCCAGAGGAGGACGCCTTGCAGGAGCATCGCTGCCTGACTCTCCTCCTTCTATAGTTCCTTGTGCTCCCAAACAGCCACGCACCTCCTTCCAGGACCAGCTGCTAGACTAAGAAGAAGTCGTTTATATCCGCATAGTTCATATGGTCCAGCCTGTTTCTCAAATGCACGTTCCTGGCGCTGAAGTGACTGCACTTAAAGCAGAACTGTCTGCATGATTTTCACGTGAGAGAGCTTCAAGTTCTGCCACCTGAGCATTCTGAGGGGCGGTCTCCTCCTATGTAAAGTGGAGACCACGTCACACTCCTACAGACCAAGATGGACGTG